GTGCATGCGTGCGCGCATGCATGAAGAACTTCGTCTTCAGCCAAGCATCGCCTCACTCAAAAGGCGATGGAAAAAGGTGCTTCAACTTACAAAAATTTTGACTTACGAAAGACCCTCTGGAACGAATTAATTTCGTAAGTCGGGGTTCCACTGTATATGGCTCTTCAAGTACAACCCTTATGACCAACATTAAAGTACAGTAGTATAGGCCTACTTAACACCACATACAGTTTACACAGACAATTTTATTTCTTATATGAATGTTATTTATTTTAACTGTCATAAACAGGATGTGACAAGTGATAATAATAACTACTGTACTGCACTACAGGTGGGATATCCAATCTTTAAATGATGACCTGATGTAACCTGCTTCTGCACCCAAGCTACTCTACACTGAATAAAACTGTGTTTTTAACATGTTTTAATGCTTTATATTTTGTTGTATCTAATCTGAACAAGCCCCCCAAAAAAAAGTCATTGATCATTGTCGGCCTCTCAGTTTTTATCATCATTATTCATTTTAAAGCTCAGTTTTTAAAACCTTACAATGTAACTACAGCCCAGCCCATGCAGCAGTATTGTTCTCCTCACTGAAGTTTGGTCCGTTTACAGCATGCTGCCATGCAATTACATTTGTCCCTAACCATCAGAAATCTTTATCGTGTGGGGAAAAAAGTTAGCGTTCATCCTCCAACTTCACTGTTTATATTTTTTATGTTAAGCATAGCTGTGTAGCACATCATTATATACCAGTTAGCCCAACTTTAGTAACCCTACAAACGCCAATGCTCTCTCTCAGGCCTCGGTGATGGTACTGCTCTCGAGCTTATGGAGAGGATGCTGTCCTTGTTAGGAACTGATGACACTGGAAAAAACTTTTTCTTTCACTCTATCCAAGGTCACCATGTCTATAATGGCTTCACCTCTTTGCTCTGCGCTGTGTGCAGACCGACTCCACATGAAACAATAACAACATCATCATTAGCTGTTGTGTTATCAGTCTTTTCTTTGAAATACTGGGGCTGCGTGGGCTTAATGTTGTCATGCTTTTTATTCACATGCCTGCTCCTAAATATTTTTTTTTATTGCAGGTATATTTTTAGTTGCAAATGTGGGTGAAACACTTGGAATTTACTTGGTAACAACTGAGTGCTACTGAGCCATGTTATAAATGAAGCATGAAAGCAAAACATTTGTGTCGAGGACTTTTTATAATAGTTATTCTAATTCAATGAATTGTTTCAGCCCTAATCTCAGCCTTGCAAGATGTTGTCACAAAACATCAAAGGCTTTGTTTGTTTGTTTAACCTACTAGTTAAAGTGAGCTTAAAAATAAATGTGGTTTAATTAGTTTAATTGTGGTTTAAAAACGAAAACTGACCAAAACTAGAGTGAGGACTTCATAAGCTCAGCTCTGAGGTTCTCTGACGCTGCTGTCAAAAGTTATAAATGGCCTGTAACACTACCAGTAACTATGGAAGGCCAGGGCTGCCATAATGAATTAATTAAATACGCCATTAAATAATTCATTAAATGTAGCAATAATTATTTGCAATCGGAAATAATTAATTACATAAATATTTACGACGCATGTAATTATTGACATATTTAATTAATTATTGACACATTTAATTAAATTATTAACACATTTAAATAATTATTGACAGGTTTAATTAATTAATTATTTATTTATTTAATTCATTTTGGCACTTTTGTCCCCTTCATCTCTCTCCTTGAAATAATTTTATCTGTCAGCCTCACCCATCAAACGAAGTGGGCGGGGTTAACGCTGCCCAAGCAGCTTCTCTAACATTTTATTGGTTGCAAAGTAAGTCAAGACTGGTCAATCCTAGATAATCGATTGCTTGTGTGGACTTGGGGCAGCCAGGTATCCTAGAATGCATTTTAAATCACAGGCAGCAATGGTGGTGGTGTAAAGTTTTAAAATACCCCATTTTTCTGTCACCAACTACACTTTTAACAGTGTTTTAGCCGCTAATGTCGCGGCGTAATCTTCACATGTCTGGTCAGATTGTCGACATAGAACATGTTTGCAAAAGTGCTCAGATGTTTTCAGCTCTGCTAACAGTCAGCTGACAGAGTGCACCGAGCTCACAGCCCCGGTTGTACCAGCTTAACTGTTTTTGTTTTGTTTTTTTTAGTTTGTTTGTTAGTTGTTGATTGATATAGAGAGAGAGAGAGGGAGAGAGAGAGAGAGAGATAAAATTATTATTATTTATTTATTTATTTTTTTCTCCTTCCCCGGTCATGTTATGTTTAACTGTCAAAGGCTTGTTACAAACTATGAAACACATGGTGCAGACTTCTGGATGTTAGAAGAAAACTAATACTGCTCATGAATGAGACTAAAGGCAGGAAGGTGTCCTTTAAATTTGTTAATAGGACCTCCCTATTTATATCATAGTTTATGATATAGCACGTGTATTTCAGTTATAGCCTACTTATTTCAGTGTAGTGGTGAACAGTTACACAGCTCACGTGGGCGTTATCTGTAATACTCCTTAACTATAATTTATCCAAGTTAACTTCAGTTGACCATTCAGACAGTTCTTTTGCAATGAAAAACATAAACACCCATGCTGCCGGTAGGTTTCCGCTGTGCCAGCTGTTTACATTACAGCTGCTTATGCAGTAACCATGGTAACAACGGACTCTGAGCGGCTGGATCGACACAGGCCAGACAACAATTTTACATATATGATCTTAAAACAGGACACAGCCATTATCTGTCCTGGCCTCATATCAAATGTGAACGCAGACTGTCTATGTTTGACGTTTGCTTTATATCTAATCTTCCTCTCAAACATTTAAACAGGAGCGAGTCTGCAGCTGAGGGAATACAAACTCAAATTATCGGAACAGGTTTGCTCGTTTCTTGCGTGTATTCATTTGGTGATTTATTAAATGTGTAACTGTTATTCTAATCTGCTGCTGAGTCTCTTACGCTGATGAAAATGCAGAAAACACAGATCACAAACACCTGTTCAACTAATCACTTTTATTCCACTTTGATCTGTGACAAACTGACGGTTCATCTCTGTTAGTGTTGCGTTAGACTGCTATATTTTCTTGTTCTTTATGCTGTAGATTTTCACGTCTCTGGAATAGTTGGCATTAATAAGGATGATTTTCTGTTAAATCATATTAATATGACCCGTGACATATTCGTAGATGACAGTTAGATTAGTCAGCCGGGAAACTGGGCTAACTCGGAGAGCTGAAGATATCATGGATATGCTGACCTCGCTCCGTGGTGTACAGGGCCGTTTACCCTCATGATTAATATTCACAATAAAAATATTAGCCGAACATCATGAAGTCTGTATGCGTTTCATAGTGTTGAACAACGTTTGTATAGTTAAAGCCAGCAGTTACTACATGACAGAAACGCCAATGTTATCTCTTTTATGCATTTATACGCAGGTCACGCTGATTACTGAACAAAAACCCAAAGATCAGCTGTTAATTGAATTCATTTGCTCTCTCTCCTCCTTAAACATGTTTTTAATGTTATTTATAATTCAGAATTGGCGACTGAAACACGTAGGACACATAAGAACATCAGGAAATAAAAACCCGATGAATATAACCTCAGTAAAAGAAGTCAGTGTCAGCGGGGGTTATTATAGCTGTGTACCGGGGTCTGCGCTTTGTCGGTGGTAATAACAGCTCGATTGCTTGCGAGGCAAGGGGGTCTGTCCCACGCTTTGCCGTGAGACTGGGCAGACATCTCCGAAATCATCGAAGCACTTTTGCGTAGAGGCTCTATCTTGACAAACCAACCAGACATATGAAGATTAAACCACTACATTCTCGGCTAAAAGAAAAAAATATTAAAACAGTATTTGGTGACACACAAACAGGGTTTTTCAAAGTTCAGTTCTGTTAGTTTCCACATGCCGGTTGTTGTGTGGTAAAAACAATGGCCACCAGGCCAAAGCAATGGTTTTGACTCGATCAGTGTTAACCCCGCCCCCTGAGTTTGATGGGTGAGGCTGACAGATAAAATTATTTCATGGTGAGACCTGAAGGAGTCAACTGTGCCAAAATGAATTAATTAAATACACCATTAAATAATTAATTAAATGTGAAATAAATAATTAATTAAATGTGTAATTAAGTAATTAATTAATTACATGTGTCGTAAATATTTATGTAATTATTGACACATTTAATTAAATATTGCCACATTTAACTCATTCACTGCCATTGACGTCTATAGCCGTCAATGGCAGTGAATGAGTCAATGGGTTTAACTCATTCACTGCCAATGGCTGGCAGTGAATGAGTTAATAATTTCTTTCACATTTTAATTAATTATTGCCACATTTAATTATTTAATGGTGTATTTAATTAATTCATTATGGCAGTCCAGGTGTTCCATAAGTATCTACCTATTTATGCAGTGTAGCATTTCTCAATCCTAAAATACATAATATTTCATTGTGAGTATTTTACTGATTTTAATTAAATGATAAAACTTCTCAATAAAATTAGGTGATTCGTCCCAGATAGATATTAAGTTTGTGTTACCTTCTTCATAGAAAACCATGCATCTATATTTCTGGCCTCCTGACAAGCAAAATGATGTTTGGAATTGTTTTTGTGATCGGTTTTGTGTTATTTGGGTTTTATGTAAAGGGAAATCTAATAGTATAAGGGATTCTTGGGTTAAAACTTAGCCTGGATTTTTCAGTTACTGTAACTACCACATTACCCAGCCTTAAATTGGTATGTATATATCTCACCTTTCAGACCTGATCATCTAAGCTGTCATGTCAAGCACGTCCATTCCTCAGAGAGGCCATTTAAGTGCCAAGTAACGGTAAGAGTTGTGACTGGGTCTCTTGCTTTCATGTTTATTTTAAGTTTACATTGTGTGTCTTCATCACAGGCCAATAAAGGGCAGTTTTGTTTAGAGATTAGCTGCCACTCAGAAACTGTTAATTTCCATTTGTATCATATCTTATGGTTACTTTGTATATTATAATATCTGAGTTCTCTGTGCTTCAAATATGCATTTTCTGAAATGTAGTGGTTGGTAGTCCATGGTTTTTGGCAAAACACATTTGTGATCAGTCATGCTGCTCATGAAAGTAACATGAACAATCTTGAGGTTGATCACAGAAAATGGCAACCAATGCAGCACAAGCTGCACTAGTTATCTAGAGTGTCCTTTTTGCAAAGTGTTTTGTTAATGAAGTGAAACTACAATACAAGTTGAAATTTCTCATTTTTCTCAGGCTTGTACGTCTGCTTTTGCTACCAAAGACCGCCTGCGATCTCACATGATCAGACATGAAGGCAAAGTGACCTGCAACATCTGTGGCAAAATGCTAAGTGCTGCCTACATCACAAGTCACCTCAAGACCCATGGGCAAGCTAGCTTCAACAGCCCATGTAACAATAAAGGTAGGTGCATATCTCCTTCCCTTATTTGCTCACTTTTGCATTTGCAATAATATTGCTGCGGTAATGATTACAGATGTGGAGCATTTAGACGGACAACGTGGCTCCAATTCCTCTCAAAATGAAGTCAAAATTACCTTTTTGTGGGGGCTGCCATATTGCACTTTTGGAGCCCAAGTATGAACAGTAGTGACTTGAAGTGGAGTTGCTGCATCACACTCCCACCCACACACCCGCTGGACGAAACCGCGAACAAACCCGCCTACACTTTTTATATAGCCCAGCTGCTCCAATTTTGAGGATATCTGCTGATGGGTTTACCACGACTGATGGTTCGTTAAATGAAGGTGAATACAACCATGTTGCTATAATTTAAAAAGACACAGCTTAACATCTTATAGTTCTACAACATCTGGCATCACTCTGTAGCCCCTATTGTTAATGTGTTAGCTAGATTAGCCTTTAGTGTATGCACTGTGTTAGAGGCTTGTTGCTAGCTAATTAGTGATGCTACACGCCTATGTTACTTTCATAGACTTGGTTTGAATGATACAGCACTACTTAGATTTTTAAATATTGTCCTTTGAGATTTTAACGTAAGCCTGAGGATGATATAAAAATGAAGATTTAAGCAGTTTTAGATCCATAGCACTCACAGAGCACTCTGCAGTCTGGTAACATGGAAACTTTAAAATAAAATATTAGATTTAAAAACACAGCAGTGGAAGGTTAATAGAAGTGTAATTTGTTCTTTTCATTTAATACCAGGATCCAGAGTTCACCTTATTACTCACAGACACATTTCACCAGGGGAAAATGAGTGAAGGATACCATCAGGACCAAGCTAGGTGTTGTGGAGCCAGAGGTTTCCAGAAACTTTCTCCCTTTCTTTCATCACTGCTGTCCTATGCCAGATTTTCGGTTGTCCCACTGAGAGAGACATTATTTCAGAAACATCAGGAGGAATGAAGCAGGACTCATTATCTTCACTATCAGCTCCCTCAGAGGGATATCTTCTTCAGATCTCAATCGTAGACCCATCACAGAACATCTTTAAACCCAGCACTTCATAAACAATGTGATGGCGACTTTTGCCTTGTGTAATGTTAGCAGTAGTGCACATCATCCTCAGATAAAGCACAGAGGACCTGGACTTTGACATAACAATGTTGTATTCAGTCCAGTAGAAACATATTAAAATTTAAAATACACATTATTGTCTCTTGTTACTCTTGTATGAATGGCTCTTAATTAATTTATGATAAATAACACACTATTAGCAAAACACAGTGTGAAAGTTTTTAGTTCAATATACAAGTAAAGACCTTTGACGTTCCAAATCATGTCCTTTTCATGCAGCTGACTACAGTCAGTGTTAAAAGCAGAGGCTGTGCAGATCTGAGATCAGCAGGTTTCTGCTGAGTTACTGCTTATGCTCCTGTATAGTGAGACCAGTCACCTGGATGTTAGACTTTTATCAATAAAACGGCTGCAGCCTTCACTGACAGCATCTCATGTGGTACTTTTTAGTCTTAGTACTGTTTTCATCAGTTAATTTTGGAGTTACTACAAAGAGTGAATATATAGGATCATTTGTCTGTTGCCACTTGGGGGTGCTGAGGTCGGAATCTCAGGGCAGCATCTGTAATCACAGAGAAAAGAATCATTGCAAACAATGAAATGTTTATTTCATTTCAAACCCATCCAACCCACCCTCTGTTTGGATAGTTAAATTTGTGATTGACATGACATTGGCCAATCAGATGAAAGGAAGGAAAAACAGGGTCAAAATTCGTATTTGTAACTTGAAACTTGAGTGCAGAGTTTCACAAGTATTTTTGGGCTAAGTCCACACACAAATCTTTTTTACACGCACACAAATTCTTTTTACACATACAAATCCTAATTTACAAGTACAAAACTGATTTACAAGTACTAAATATTTATGACCACAATTTGAGCCCATAGAGTTTGAAATCCTTTTTGTAACCATGTCTCTTACAGGTGCCATTTGTGGTCCTTATACACACACAGTACGGTAATATTACGTTGAAGCAGAGTACGTATTACTCCGCGAGGCTCCTCAGTAGCCGTAATGCTCCGACAATCCATCAAGCAGTGCAGCTTCGTAGCTTACCAAAGTCGTACCAAAACATTTTTTGAAAGGTTTCTGAGCGCTGTGTACCACAAAATCGGTTCGCGGTCAGTAAGCACAACCAGAATTCATACATATGGCACACTGTCGGTCTTTGAGAAAATGAAAGGATTTTAGGCGTCAACGCGTTAGCACAGCTCGTTGATGCTGTCCAGCCCTACGCACAGGGTCATCTACGGTAACTCGTTAACGGAGATTTGCCCCGTTAATGCAGCTACGGCGTTAACGTCACGCTGACAGCACTAAAACGGTAATCTCCAAATCTTTTCTTTTTACCGACCAGCTCCTCTTTGATAGCTGCTGTGTCCATCTTGTCGTTGCCTGCAGGTGAAGCGATGGGGGAGTGGGAGTTGTGTTCAGTGAAGGAGAGAGCCGAGGCAGATTAACGTTGCGTAGAGACAAAAGTGGGCGAAAGAGAGGCAAACTTGCGGTTCCACAAGTATAATTATAACGTAACATAGACTATATCATACAAACGATATTGTCACATCTCATATCTCGTATAAAAATATATCGATATATTTAAAAACTTGATATATCGCCCACGGTGGTTAGCACTGTTGCCGCACAGCAAGAAGGTCCTGAGTTCAATTCCACCATCAGGCCGGGGTCTTTCTGTGTGGAGTTTGCATGTTCTCCCCGTGTTTGCGTGGGTTCTCTCCGGGTACTCCGGCTTCCTCCCACCGTCCAAAGATATGCAGCTTGTGGGGATAGGTTAATTGATTAATCCAAATTGTCACTAGGTGTGAATGTGAGTGTGAATGGTTGTCTGTCCCTGTGTGTTAGCCCTGCGACAGACTGGCGACCTGTCCAGGGTGTACCCCGCCTTTCGCCCTATGACAGCTGGGATAGGCTCCAGCGACCCTGAAAAAAGGATAAGCGGAAGCGAATGGATGGATGGATGGATATATCGCCCAGTCCTAATATCACAGTATAATTTGAAGCAAGTGCGGTAATGATATATTTTTCAATTCAATTCAATTTTATTTATATAGCGCCAAATCACAACAAAAGTCACCTCAAGGTGCTTCATAGATACAGAGAAAAACCCAACAATCATATGACCCCCTATGAGCACTTTGGTGACAGTGGGAAGGAAAAACTCCCTTTTAACAGGAAGAAACCTCCGGCAGAACCAGGCTCAGGGAGAGGCGGGGCCATCTGCTGCGACCGGTTGGGGTGAGAGAAGGAAGACAGGATAGAAAACATGCTGTGGAAGAGAGACAGAGGTTAATAACAGATATGATTCAATGCAGAGAGGTCTGTTAATACATAGTGAGTGAGAAAGGTGACTGGAAAGGAAAAACTCAATGCATCATGGGAATCCCCCGGCAGCCTACGTCTATTGCAGCATAACTAAGGGAGGATTCAGGGTCACCTGGTCCAGCCCTAACTATATGCTTTAGCAAAAAGGAAAGTTTTAAGCCTAATCTTAAAAGTAGAGATAGTGTCTGTCTCCCGAATCCAAACTGGAAGCTGTCCAAACTGGAAGCGATATATTCTTTTCTTCTGTAGAACGTATTTTACACACTATAAGGCACACTTAAAATCCTTTAATTTTTTCAAAAATCGACAATGTGCGCAGAAATCTGTCTTTAGTACGACTTTGGTAAGCTATGAAGCCGCACCGCTTGATGGATTGTCGGAGCATTACAGCTGCCGTAGTCAGGAGCCTTGCGGAGGAATCTGGGTCCTAAACTCCGTCTCCTTCAGGTCCCAAAGTCAAACGAACACCACGGCATTACTGAGAGTTAACAACTGTCTAAATTCTTTCATCTTTAATAAAATGATCAGCGTTGCTGCTTTACCAGGTGTAACAATTAAGTTTAACATCCAGGCATCCATGAAGACAGAATTTATTAAATTCAACGCAGTTAGAATTTAGCAGGAAGTTAGCTCGCTAGTTTCCACCTAAACATGATATAGCATGTTCTGACTGAGAGATTTCCGAAAAAATTAAACATACAGCTCTGCTATCACTTCCAACATGAAGTGGAATGAAGACAGAAAACTAAACAGCAGTGACGTTTGTAGGGTTACTGAAGTTTGACTAGCTGGTATGCAGTGATGTCCTATGTGATCGCTAGCAAAACAGCTATGTTCGCATAACATTAGCACAGTGAAGCTGAAGGATGAACGCAAACTTCTTTCTACTCGATAAAAGTTAACGTGAGGGTTTCTGGTGGTTAGGGACAAATGCAATTGCATGGCAGGATGCTATAAACGGACCAAAATTCAGTCAGAGAACAACTGAGATAATCCATCCACAATACGAGGTTAGTCATTAATATACTGCAACAACATGGGAATAGAGCAGCTGCGAGAGAATTCAGCATTAATGAATCAATGGTATGGAAGTGGAGGAAGCACCGTTTTTGGCTTTCCCCATATTCCAAAAGTGCTTTGACTCTTTGCTATGACTGTCACCCGGCATAATTTGCAGATGATGTTGTTTGCAGCCGCTGCAATGCTTTCGACCAAAACAGGCGCAACTTGATGACACCATCAACATGCGCTATCGCGATAGAGCGGTATAGTCAAAATCTCTACCGTTGGCCAAATTTATATAATTTCTACCGTATACCGTTTATACCGCCCACCCTTAGTAGCCTGTGACAAAAACACATAATTTGTTCCCAGTTCTCCAGTTGAATCTTTGAAAAAAATGCCAAACATAGCAGTTTGACAGCTAGAAGATACTATTTTTCTTCTTCTTTTTTAAAATTTTTTTAATGAATACACTTTACACAATTAAAAATGCATCATTATAAGATTATTACCTAACACGAGACCTGAAAGATGCATCTGGCTCTTCAGCTGATCATTCCATCTATCCATCTATTATTCACTAAAGCTTCATCAGAAATGGTCTAATTTGAAGGGTAACTTTCAAAAAACTATTCTTAAGAAAGGGGAAACGGGAAAGGTGGAGGTATGCTAAATTACACAAGAACTGGACTAATAATTAGTGACATCAGGTCTTATGAAGTCATACACAATTTCAGATTTTTGGTTTAATTTGTCAGCAGTATGTAGAGTGGAGGTCAGGAGTGATAGTCTAATGCAATCTTTACCACAAGGTGGAGGCACTGTTGTGGTTTGCAGCTCCATTTCAGCCATTGGTATTGGGGATCTTATCAAAATGAAGAGAATTATAAATGTTGAAAAGTACTGAGAGATTTCGATCCACCGTGCATTACCATCTAAAAACGTATTTGATTGGAAATGGCTTCTCTCATTCTTCAACAATGATGCCAGAATAGACTGCCAGTCCTTTTGGCATCATTGCTTAAGCATACTTCAATTGAAAAACAGACACAGTTATGGATTGACCTCCCCAGAGCCTGGACCTCAACTTTAATTTGACTGTGGTATCATCTTGACAGAGAAAAGAACAAAAGGCAGCCAACGGCCAACAATATTCCTGAAGACTACTTAAAGAAATTTAAAGAAAGCTTGCCTAAGAGAGTTCAGGCTGTGTTAAACTGTAAAGGTAGCAATATTGACTTTCAAGCATGTTAAAATTGTAAAAACTCAATTTTCCCCTTATATACTGTATTTCCATTTATTTTCTTGCATTTAAAAAATGACTACACCCATTTCCAGTTTTCCTGGAAAGTCATAAAGAAATGAAAGCTGGCTCAAGACATTTGCACTGTACTGTATACTTGAAATAGTCTTTAATGATTTTTTTTGTTTTCTTGTGAGATAATGGACTCCACAGAACTGTACACTATCATGTTTTAATTATATTTTCTTACTGTGGTTGTGCAGGTTTAAGTGCTGGTGGAATTTGAGATCACCTTTTTTTTTTTTGTTTTTTTGTTTACATGTTTCTTATAAGTAATCCCTAACTACTAAACTGCACACATCACATGAAAGGGCAAATGTTAGAAGTTGGACGGTTTAGGTGATGTCTACAAAGCGTGTGGATTATAGAGAAAAGCTTTCAGAGGAAAACCTGGTCTTATTAGGGGAAATAGCATATCTCTAACCTTAGATGGTAGGTTTCATTTCTAGATATTTATAGTATTTATTAAAGCTTCCAAAATGTGACCACCCAGATTTCCAAAATCCTATCCCAAAGACTGTCTGCTCGTAGACCAACGAAGTGTCTCAAAGAAACCTGCTTCCAGGAGAAAAAAATGTTGGTGTAAATGTATCAACACCAATTGAGAAATGTTACATAATGGGAAAGTTTTTAGGATAAAAATTTGACCTTGTATTTTCACATTTTTACTTTTAAGATGTTTTCACTTGTGTTTTAAATTTACAGTTACCTAAAAGTAAAAAGAAAAAAAAAAAATTTGTGGTAAACATGTTGCAAAACCCGCTGAACGAGCAGTTTATTACAAAGCAGAGGACCAAGATGTCTCATTCTCAGCTGTCCTGTGTCCACCACATGGATTTGTAACCACAAAGCACCTGTGATTCATGAGCAAATCACTGCAGACACAAAATCCCTCATTCTTTCAACCAGCAAAAATGAAGTTGAAAGAGAATTTTGTATATCTGCAACTGCTAACGAGTTATCCAGCATAAATGCAGTGACCAGTATGCTTCTGTGACATTAGTATTTGCTCAGATATTTGACAAGCGTTCAGTCCACATGCCAGCAGTGTCTTCTCACTTAGTTTCTAACAGCATTGTCACTTAAAGAGGACTGTTAGTTAATTCAATTTTATTTATATAGGGCCAAATCAGCCTCAAGCGCTTTATATTGTAAGGTAAAGACGCTTAATGGACCCAGCAATTAAATTACCTCTTTGAGTGAACATTTGTCAACAGTGGGAAGGAAAGGGCAGAAACCAGTTGGGTGTGATGGAAGGAAAACAACATAAAGACACACTGTGGAAGAGAGACAGATATTATTGATAACTACTGATTTAATGCAGAATGCTGAATGAAAAAGGTGAGTGAAGAAGAAATGGTACTGGTCTCCAGCACCATTGGCTTATTGCAGCATAACTAAGGGAGGATTTAGGGTCTCCTGATCTAGACCTAATTATATGCTTTAGCAAAAAGGAAAGTTTTAAGCCAAATCTTAAAAGTAGAGACTGTGTCTGTCTCCCAAATCCAAAATAAACTGGTTCCACAGAAGAGGAGCCTGAAAGGTGAAGGCTCTGACTTCCATTGAACTTTTAAATACTTTCTGATCCATTTAGAAACTGTGGCTGTTACCATGTTGTACAGTCAAAACAAGGGCATGTCTCAAATAATGGTTTTTGTAAATAATGAGTCTATATATATATATTAATAACATGTTTTTCACTTCATACTGTCCAGTAATGGTGGAACATGGTTTGATTTCCAGAGACGGGATATAAAAAGGGCAAGAAAGGTATGGCGTTATTTTTGTGCCACTATTCTGAGTGCACATAAAAAAATTTTTGAGCGCACGTAAAAAAGGTTTGCAGGTGCAAGTGTTGCATTTTGAGGAGAAATTTATTTTGAGTGAAGAAAAGCTGAATTTGAGTGAACAAAATTCATTGCTGCGTGCAAAAAATGTATTTCAGTGTTTGC